GTTTTTCCAAAGCCGAGTTGGCGAACTCCGCGACGTGAGAAGATTGTACACAAGATATATGAAACTGATATTAACCGGACATATCATGGAACTTATTAACTGTTTATTGAATTACGCTCTTATTAAGAATGAAAAATGAATATCTCCTAGAGAATAAGATAGTCTTAGATGATCCTTAAACATAAAGAGGCGAGGAAGAAACAAAGTGATCTCTAATACATTTAATTATCAATCTGACATCTACACTAACATAATAATATTCAATGTAGCTGTGTATTATTTCAGCTATCGCATAAAATATAGGTAAAACTTTTGTGATGCTTAACTTCATTCAGAACTTGCAGGCAACCAAATTAAAATTTTCATTTATTACCAATAGTTTATAAATGAAGAAGTTTTATACAAAGCAAAGCAAGTGTTATGAGAATAAATAAATTGTTATACAAACTTGACCGAGAATAAGACAAAGACAGACAGGGGAGGAGTTGTCTGGAGGGCGGCCTCCTTTGCTCGCGTTTGAAAGTGCCCTTCAATGTAACGACGTGGTATGATGTGATGAGGACGACGCTTCTCCTCTGAAAACTGTGTAGCGGTGCTCTTGTTAGATGTAAGATTAGTATTATAACAGAGGGCTTATCACAAATTTTCGTGAGAACGTTTTCCGAACGTCATCGATAAAAGTATTAGAGTCTCCAGCCCCCCTACCCCTACCGGGCATAAAGTGCGCTAATTCAGTTAATTTTCAAGATGTTTGAAAGTTCCCGTCTAAATGAACTTATACTATGTAGTAACAAATAAATCAAGGACAATCATTTTTGTATTATTTAAAAGAGTGTGATAATGTTGTGATTACATAAAATTAATATTAAATACTTAATTTATAAAATTCCGTTGCAACAAACTGTCTCCGGGTCTGTTGTAGAAGTAAATATAATCATATCATCTGGGGCGGTATTAACGCTTCGACTGCAAACTCATCTGTCCGAAGTGAATCAACACAATAACTGGTTAGTATGTACGTTATCACACATGTAATTACCGAGCGGGTCTCTGTTAAATTATTGTATTTAATTTGTAAACAAATAAAATATCTAAGAAGATCTAAGAATCAATAAATATGATGAGATATGGTTATCTAATATTTCGCAGATTATGTCAAATTACGATGTAGTGAATTAGGTGTTTACGTTCAATATTTAACACAAAGGTAGCTACGAGAACGTATGAAGAACGTAC